AAAGAGAAACGGTATGTCCAAGAGCCGCCGAAGCTACTCTAAAAAATGAAGGTACGGACCCCCTAAATAACCTTTGGACCCCCCTAACTTTTGACAGGGGGGTCAGATCGACTTCCGGCTTGCGCCAAAAATTTTCTTTTTTCATGCTCTTTCTAACGATGTATCACATGATGGGGGTTGCCATTTGAAATTTTTGAGTTGCCCCCCGCCCCCCCTCCCCCTGGGGGGGTGAAGAACTGAAAAGTACCTCAAAAAGTTTCCCCCTCGATATGAGGAAGGACGCCACAAACCGCAAATCGATATCATAATTAGAACTAAAGTTATGGCCAGTGGTGCGTAACTTTTGAATAACCCTGTATAAGAATACAATTATACAAAACGCAACAAAGTTTTCAAGGTACATGCTCCTATCTTGATAGAATCGATTCAATCAAAAATCCAATTTTGAAAATAGGTTATGTGAGTAAGGTATTTCAAACTACTCATGGGAATATTTCCACACCGCACATTTCATTAATGGCATTTTTGAGGAAAAGACTGTTAAAAGCCTATCACTGCGACTAGGCCTTTTTGGCGTGAATAGAGTCGGATGAATATCTGGTTAATGTTCCATGAATCCATTCAGATGGAACTGCGAAATGCAAAGTGCCAAAGTGCACTTTTCGATGAGATTTCTAAAGGATAAAAAAAGGAAAAACGGAACCCAATGAGAAATTTTATGAGTCACCCTGTACATTTTTTCCGAGAGATCATATTTATTAAAAAAATCCGTTGGTTGGACTTTCCAACACCCGATAAAATTGTAACACGCGATGCAATTTTTATTTGACATGAAGTTAAACGTAAATTGTGACCGAGGCTTTTAAATGTCATTCCGTTAGATACCATACGATCAGTCAACGGTTGAAGAGTGGTGCAAACACTATGCTGTCAACGAGGGCGTTCTGTTTATACCTGGTAATACATGAATTTTTAGTCGTGCTGTATGCTGTCTACACTAAAAAAAGTATCGTAACATCTACTATAAGTCTGCTTGATTTTTCACACAGTGGCACTATCCAGTGAATTTAACCAAAATTATCGTAGTATTCACCAGATCATAATATCGCAATATGGTAAATGCTATTCTAGGGTCTGGTGTGTATTACCATATTTGGATCAGTATGTCAGAGTATGTTAAAATTTACCATTTTTCAGTGTAAGTTATTATTCTTGAGTTCCGGTGGGACCATCGAATTCCTTCTCTTAGTATTTATTAATAATGTTTTCTCTCCTTCTTTAGACGAAAAAGTGTTTTAGCAACATTGGCTTTTTCGGGAATAATATTACAGCTGCATTTAGAAAACGAACACTACCCAAAAACGCAGGGTCTAATTAATGTCTAGGTAATTGCGCAGGGAAAAAGTGCAAACTTATTATAAATGGTCTTGCCTAAGGCTTCTTGAGATGAAATTCAGTAAAGATAGTTCTACTGTAGCTTAACTCGCTTGAGCGCGTTGAAATGAGAAAAAATTAGGAAGGGAATAAAATTTACTCTTCAATTTGTTTTTCTTTTTGAAGGGTTTTTAATTTTCTATAATGAGAGATACTTCCTACACTGAGTGCAATTTTTAGCCTGATACTGTCTCTAGTTTAAATCAGCGCCTTGCAGAAAAAATAGAATATTTTCGCAGCAATAAGAGTTCTCGATTTCCGTAAAAAAGAAGACTGTCCAGGGAAAACTCGATATCGTGGAAAACTTATGAATTTCGAGGAAAAAACAAGGTCTTTTATCAACTCAGCGGCAAAAATTACATCAGAATACTAAGTTTATGCTCCTGGATAAAGTCTATGCCTGTTATATTAGTATATTTATGGAAAGTAGAGAAAAGGTGAGGAAAATTGAGTATAGACGATTTATTAAATATTTTCAAATTTAAGTAGTAAGTACATTTAAGAAAAATTCAGTTCCTCAGAAACTACTAATGGAATAGGGGAAAACGGTTATCATTTCCGAATTCAACGTTAAAAAGCACATAAAAAACATCTATTACATTTACTTTCATTTTACATACTTTTACATTTATTTCCTAAATATTGAGTTTTCTCCGGAAACCCCTGTTTTTATGAGAAAATCGATTTTCCGGTAAATCCTAACGGAATAAAGAAAAATTGATAGCATTTTCAGACTCAGCGTAGAAAAGTGCATGTATAACACCTACAATATGTTGAGCTTTGTTTTCGGATGCAGACCTGTATAATTATTTGAGATCTATCACCGTCATTTTACCCTTTTTTTTAGCGCTTTCTAGATGTTTCAGTTGTTTCACCGCTATAACGAGGGGTAAAATTTTTTTTTTTTTGAGGTGTCCATTACGACTCTATCTACTCATTTTTTTCTGCTGAAGCCGAATATGACCTCAAATTTTTTCTAGAAATTACACATTTTCCAAAAAATGGATTTTTCTGAAACAAAGTGTTTTTTAGTGTAAACTTCCATTTAAAAAAGATGGCTCTGTTGGCACGGGATAATATGATCCAATTTGACTGAAACTTTGCAGAGAGTGTTTTTGGATCAAATCGATCAGTTCTAGGGGGTAAGACCAAAAAATTGTATAATTCTCACAGTTTTCTAGAAAGAGTTTTTCATTTTCGCTAAATTCATATACTCTTGAAATGAAGTAGAAATTCTTTAAATACAAAACGCGCGCGAGTCGCATTATGAAACATATAGAAGCGCGTTTTTCCGAACTACGCATACACGTAGAATTCAAATTAGTTCCATGTTCAATCAGATTTTTGGATCTTTGCAACTTCTGGAATTATACCCACATCGCAAAAGATCCTGAAGCCACAATATGCTTTTACAAAGTCGGAGTAAGTTATAAATTGCAAATGTATTGCTAATTGCTCGTGTCCGTGCGTTACGGGGTCGAATGCTATTAAGATGAAAATCACCTAGATTTGGACGAATCTTACTCTACGATAAAATCATAAAAGATTCGCGTACTGCATAACGCCAAAGGTGCGAAGCGATCAGAGGGTGGAGCCTCATAGTTGACTGAAAATTGAAATTTTTCTTCAAGAACACGGTACGCAGAAAAAATAATCTTCTATATCTTGTTTAATTCTTTGTGCCATGATATAATCTCCGTATTCTTTGAAAGAGTGTAATCTTTTGTTTTATCACCATAGGCACAGTACCTCGTTTTTGAGAGCGAGTGCATTCATATTGGAGCGGTGCAATTACCAAATGCAACGATTCTCTCTTCAACCTCACCGGACCCAGTGTCCTCACAGGTGACACGATTTTCATTCACCGAAAACTCACACGGCTTATGACCCAATGATTGAAAAGGCCTGAAAGAGATTTAATTTTTCGAAGTGGCTCTGGCTTTCGTTAGTCTGGAACGGCTTACCGCAAAACGAATTTTACAACGAAAAATTGCGAGATTTGAAATTGAGTTGCGATTTCATCACGATTTTTTGGCGATGATATAAAAAATAAAATCGATTTTTAATTTCATCTCGATGATATTCACGATACTGATATCACTCGTGATACGAGATATCACGCTCTCACGTCAAAGTTAGGATAAAAATAATTCAAATTGACAAATTAAAAGTTCAAAATGATGACTCGTCACCTCATATGAAATATCTAATCTTACTTATGTCCTGTTTTTGTAAATTTAAATTAAATATTAAGATAATCAGTGAATATCACGAGAGATCAGTGCGAGTGCTTCAGTGCTCCGAGATCGATTCTCGTAGCAATTATATGTCTACGGGATCGCGTTCGATAAAATCGAAATCTCATTTCAATTTGTCAATATTTTTTGTTCGAGAATATTTCGATAATCCGCCGTCGATGTAATTGCGATTCTACTGCAAAATGCGATGAAATCGCAATTAATCGCACTTTAGTATCCGTTAATATTGATATAAATTGACGTCGATAAAATCTTGATACATTCTCCAATCAAATCGCAAGTTATCGCGATCACTGCTACTTGGGGCCAGACCTTTGGACAAGGTGTGAGTGGGCCCATTGCAAACTCTAACCAGAGCATAAAGTAGAGTAGTTTCTTGTAGGAAAAGGCTAAAAAATCACGATGAGTGCATCGGGGAAGTCTGTAATACACTCCTGACCTCACAACCTGCGCAAGAAATATACGTTTTTTTAAGCCTCCCCCTTCAAAAACGATAATACGACAAGGGTGCGAACATTTCGGAAGAGGAGACGCTCTATCCACCCTTGCGCACTAGGATGCTTTGCAAAATTCATCATGGCTGATACCATCCTGCCGAAACACACGTGATGAAACGGGATTTAATCAACTGGCGTGTTCATATTTGTATTTTCCTTGCGTTGATAAAGACCACGGTGCTTCCTTGCGATCTGCGTGCGGAAGCGTCAGCAATGTTGAGTATTGTGTAGAATCCTCGTGGTTCAAAATTTGAGACCCGTCAAATTTCCGAAAAATTGCGCAAAATATAACCGGAAGGTATTATGGTTGATTTTAGTCTCATATTGTAGGAGTGACTTCCCTGATTAGATAACATCTTGCCAGACTGCCGAACTCCGATGGGAAAGGGTTGCCAGACCGCCCAAAAATTGCTTAGTATCGTTTTTGAAGCGGGAAGCTTATGAAAACGCATAGTTCTTACGCAGATTGTGAAGTATGGAAAGTATTCAAGACCTTTTCGATTCACTCATCGTGCTTTTTGAGCCATTTCCTAAAGGGGCCAACTCGTCCTTTTACTCTAGCTGAAGTTTGCAATAGGCCCATCAATGTATTATGCAACGTGCCTTCTCTTCAAAATCTCACGAGGAAAACGAATCATACAAACAGAAGGCTGAAAAGAAGTTCCGAAATAAGATAAAAGTGTTTACAGTTATCATCGACTAAATGGCGAAAATACAAATCGCATCATCATTTGTATTATCTAGCTTACATTTGGATGTCTTTTTATCAAACGTGCATTAATGTGCATATCGCCGGTGAAACTACCAAACCACGTATCTCGTTTGCGGTGTTTAAAAATCTACGCTCACATTTTGTTTTTTTGAAGTAGACCAAATCAATATCATTCCTTGAAATTTTCACAGAATTTTGAAATTTTCAAGACTGGATGTTAAGTAGTTTTTCATTTAAAAAATAAAGTATGACAGGAGGTCTGCGACGTCGCAAACCGAGATACGTGGTTTGGTAGTTTCACCGTCGATATGTGCATTAAGACATGAGCCCTGAGACCCATAAGAATACACGCATAATAGGGCTCACGTTAATGCACGTAGTTCCGTTTGGCAGAAATACGTCCACTTGAGCTGTGTTAAGAATATCTGTCGTTCACGAGTTGATTTCAAAACTTCTCGTCGGAGAAATTCTTTTCTACTGAAGATTTTGAAGAGAAAACTTGAAATGCATCATTCTAGTTCAGATTTTGTCTAGGGTCCTAATGATGAGAGTAGTTCCAGTAGCATTCTTGCCTTAATACGCTGAGAACAAATTTCCAGTTTCCAATTGAACAAGAGTTTTTGGAAATATTTTTAAAGCGGCATGATGTCTTTTTAAAATAACAGGGAAACTATTGAAACAAGAAAATTCCCTCTTGACTTAACAATTATTCTCGTCAAAAAGTTATAAATTCGAATTTTAATTGGCCCAACAGCAAATTGTCCTCCATGTATAGTAGAGCTACTCAATTGATCGGTTTCACAACCTATTCTTCTATAAAACTGCGCAGAGAACGCCACAATGTCACTCATTTTTTAATGTCCTAAGACATCTCAAGTTCAGGTTTTAATCAGTGGCGTGGCGCGAGTAATCGATTATCGATATTTCCCTATTTGAAACTGTGCTAGAGAATCGATTATTAAGGTGTTCGCTGCGAACACCCTGTATATCGATCTTTTTCCACATATTTAAATGACAGATCAATCGATGTATCGCAAATCATGCCACGCCTCTGATTTTAATAAAGAACAGTCCCCATTTTACGAGAGAGTCAACTTTCCAGCTTTTACTCAGTCAGACTCTCCATGCAATAAAGCAAAACCGCCCTGTTTTTCCTTCATTTAAAATCTTGTAAATAATCGATTTTGAGACCTGGATGACTCATCCTGAATCGATATTTTTAATGAATTTAAATGGATAATGCAACTATTCCTGCTTAATGGTTGTCTCAGTATGTTGCCTATTTGAAAAATGAAGGCGCACAGAATTTTTTTCCAATCGTTCGACGAGCGCGTTTAAGTGGGCTGTTGATCCCATTGCCTGGACGCAACTATTCATGCTCAAAAGATGTTTGTGTTGCATATCCAAAAAACGAAGGCGCTAATGCTGTTTCTGGCACTCGCATACTAAGATGCTGTTAGCGTGAATAGACGCTAAGGTTGCCAAAATCGTAGACTTTTGTCTTTTGAAACACTTAAAGTTGCCACAGAGATGGTAATCCTGCCAGTGTGTTCAGCTTAATCTCTACATGAAATTTTGACTGAATGCAGTTGTAGACTCTCTACTAAGGTAACTTGAACTTTAGAAGGATCTCTGAGCTTCGGAAATTTTATCGGAGAAAATCAGTGACACTGTCTCATTCTTAGCCTCGTTAACTGTACCTTTTTTTTTACTTTTGGAGGGCAGACATATATTATCAGGTACGGTATACAAAAGAATGTGAATGGACCCTCACCCCCCCCCCTTATTGAATTCCCAACTACCCCACTGGATGGTATACTGCCCGATTAAATTGCTTAGATTGTCAGTGCCGAACTTAAACATTGTTTATGGTTCGAAAGTTGTTCTTGGATGGAATAATGTCTAAAATGTACATGGAATCCGAGTTGCAGGGGCAAAATATAGCCGGTCGAAGCACGCCCTTCCGCATTTTGCAAAGCGAGGTCGGCCAATCCATCGACGATGCATCGCCCTCAACAGCTGATGACCGGTGGCCAGTTCTCCAAACGAGGATGCAAAATGGGATGAATCGTATGATGCCCGCTAAACCTAAATCTAAGCACTCTGAAAAATCTAAATCTACTTGGCTTAAATCGGCAAGCAATGCAACCAAGAGTTTCAAAAAGAAGGTTTCAAGTCTTGGAAGTAGGAGCGGGCGGTTTAGTCGAACTGAAAGCGGTTTCTCTTCAGATGGGTATGGGTAAGCGCATTGTATATCCCTACTTTTTATTGATTGGTCTTGGTACACACTTGAAAATTTTCGTCTTTATGGTTACTGTGGGTTACTTTGAGTTATTTAATTTTCGGTCAGATCAGCCAAAAGCACTCATACTGAAAAAAAAAATTTAAAAAATCCGGCCGTGGAAGCCGTTCTTACGCGCTTTACGGGCTATATTTAGACATACCGTCCACGTTCCGGGCTCAAAAGCCGTAAATTCCGGGTGTACTTAGCACCCGGAACAGTCGAAGCTACGGCCCCAGAACCTGGGACTTTCGGCCTATGGACCAGGAACGGACGGTATGTCCACCGTAACTTTTTTTCAGTGCAGTCGATCGGCCAAATTTTTTGGTTACATCGACCGATACCGTAGGTTACTCTCAGACAACAAAGGCGTCTAGAACCAAAAGCGGCAACCTCCACTACCCAGTCTGAAAATTAGGCCATCATTATAATTTTAATACTGGGAGGACATGAAAGTCTTGTTCACGTTCTCTCGTAAATTTTCTGTCACCAAGCGAGAAAATTTTGAAAATTTTAACAACAGCCAGACATTTCGGTTGTGCCGCACAGAGAACGAATATGATTGCACAATTTTTAGTCAAGGCAATGGAGATTGCTACATTTGGTTCAAGACGCCTTGACTGGGGACGAAGAAAATTTCCTGCTGAATTAATGTGCTCGCATTTCTCTCGTTGTCACGCAGAGGTTGCGACTTGCTGGCGTGTTTTACGATACATCGATTGATTTGTCATTTAAACCTACGGAAAATGATCGATAAACAGGGATTTCGCAACGTCCCTTAGTAATCGATTCTTTACCATAGTTTCAAATGGGTAAAAATAGATAATCGACAATTAACGCCTCGCCACTTAGCGCATAGGACTTTCATCAAAGCGATCCAGGTTTGATCCTGGCTACTCGCGCCTGATTTTTAACGAGGTTGTATAGCGTCAACCCAAATATTTGGTCAATGTAACCGAAAAAAAAAGTATAACCAAAAAATGTTAACCGCGCATTTAAGTTATTTCATGTTTTGCCGCCCATATTACCGCATTATAGATGTGGCACATACAGTGTTTCTACAATGAGCTAGAAAAATGAGTTCCTTTCTGAGTAATGCAGTCAAACTGATCCTTGCTGCATGTACAAATTGCATCCAATTCATTCAGAAGCTCGTCTTTGATTGACCAACATGTCGCAGCGTATTATCGCCTGAGCAATCAGGAACTATTTCCGAGTAATAACAATTCACACAACTTGACCACCCTGCGCAATTGGCTCAAGCTAAGTGAAGAAGTCATACGTACATTGAAATTTTTCAAAATCTAATACATTGTTTTAACGTTTCTGAGAGAAACCAACCAAAGTTTTTGCTTAAAATTGATTGTATGGGCCTATGACGAATTGAAACAACTTTTGAGTGGGTATAATAATTGAGTTCCTTCCACAAAATTAAAATAAGCGAGAGGATTTTGAAACACTGCAATGTAGATGTGACTTTTTTCTCAACTTAAAAACTGTTCATGAACTCAATTTTTAATAACTCTCAACCTGTTGCAGCTCAGACGGCAGTGGCCGCAGCAGCTCGAGACACAGCAGCAGATCAAATAAATCGCCATCTGGCAAAACTAAGGTTCGATTTTTTTTTTTTTTCATTTCATCTAAACGTTTCAAAGGAAAAACTCGTCGCGGCAAGGAAGGGCAGCGAATACATAGTATGGATCCACCTCAAACTCAAAACTCCCTTTCCTTATTTTAGACCATTGATCTTCCCTCACCCCTGGTATGAAACTCACTGGAGTTGATTTTGTACCTCTAATTCTAATTTTTGCCTTTAATCCTGGCTGCGGGCCGACTATTGAAAATGATAGACAAAGAAGACAAAAGAGATATGGAGAGATTCCATTGGTGGAAGCGGGTGGTTTTAATGGACAAGGAGGTAGGTAATAGACTGACTAACGGCATCCCACAAGAGACCCGACCGTTAGTCATTTTCTCCCTTTGTCCATAGGAACCACCCGTTTCAACCAGTAGGATCGCTCCATACCCCATATGTCTTTTATATCTGTAGCTTTGTCCATTAATTTCAATAATCAGTCCGCTGGTCCGTAGAATAGAGAGCACCAAACATTATTTTACCATCCTGTTCCAACAGTATTCGCGCAATTTTTTATATCCCCCCCCCTTCTTTCAAGAGAGTGACTAATTTCATATTCATCTGAACAAATTCAACCGGATCGTTCATTCGTTGGATGTTCCCATACACAATGATTTTGTTTAAAGCGAACTGCCTATCTCACACTTGCACTCTGTTTAACAGTTGCAGGAAAAATAGAGGGTCATTAGTGGCTCCTTGCCGACTGTGCAATCGTGTGTGTAATCACAATCTATTAGAATGTACAATCGGAAACCTCACCTCAGTCATGATAATCTTAGAAAATTTTGCACGCTTTTTTGTTGCTTCATCAACACTACTCTAAAAAGTATAGAACCATTTCAGGAAAAGGAGAATAATTTTCAACTGGTCAAACTATCGTTAAACTTTTTTAATCGTCTTTTTTATTACTTGTTTAAGATAAAAATGAATGAGTCCATAGAAAAGGCGGAGAACTCCAACATGTAGGTTTCAGATAAGTGTATAGGAGTAGAAATGCCATTAGATTCTACGTTGAGTGTATTACCTTATTTATTATTAGGCAGACTTTATTCCCCGCCCTGGTCTTCTTCTTCTTTTAAACTATGAAAATTGGAACATATTTTAAGAACCATATTTTTCCATCGTCGATGAACCAAAGTATTAAAAAATGCCGTACGAATAAATGATGTTCTCCTCATTTTTAGAAAACCGGCAGCAAGATCAGCAGGCTTGCGTCCTCAGTGGGAGACACTGTAAAGTCCGCCCTCTCTTGGAAAGTATCAAGAACCAGTAGTAGTTCAAGGTATGCAGTATATTCTCACGTATAGATATTACCAGCAGCAGGGACAATAAAAAAGACAGGGAAAGAGCTTGTTGCAAAAGCAAGATTTTTCCTCTCCTTTCCGAGATTTGAAATCTGAAAATCTAGAATACCTAATGCGCCAACCCCGAGTTGATAATGAAGTCTTGGGATTTTCTCTCAAAACATCTTAAAGTCTGCGGCATGATTGCGCGAATGCCTTCTTTTTTACCTTTTTGGAGATGCATAGGATGGCGCGAATTTTTCTGGTACTGAAAACTCACATGTTTGCTCGAATATTCAGTATTCAGCGAAGAAGCGTTAATCTGGCAACCTTGGTAGTTTGTGGTAGATAACTACATTGCGGAAGACTGTCCATACCCTTCTCACTTACGGGCATGTCTCTCTTCGATGGATAGCCCTCGCAGCACGAATGGCTACGAGAACTTTCATAGTCATTTAAAATATGAACTAAGGGCCTGTGGCCGCTATACGGCCGCTGACCATTGAAAAAAACTACCCGTAAAAAAATCGTAGAACAATCATGTTCAAGTTTTTTAAGAGATGGATGGATTCAAAACCTGGAAGGTGCACCCGAAAGAAAGCGTATATTTATCTCTGATTGCAACGTTATGCACCTTTTTTTATATTTTATTTATAATAAATGTTTTTAAAAATATTCACGCAATTTTTCTGAAAAGTTTCCGCGGAGGAAGTAAATGATCTCAAATTAAAGTATTGAAAATTTGGACGCGATCATTTCGTTTGTTCTACTTTCTTTGAAATTAAATACCATCCGAGTTTCTGAATTGTCACAATGAGGATACATATTATATTTCCTTTAAGTATGGTAAAAACTGGAGCAGAAAGTCAAGAATGACAAGCAGTCCTACAACATTCCAAAAGTTTTGTAGGTGCTAATATGAGTTTTACGCCAACCAACCGACTGCACTGCGTTTGGCGCAATGCGAGAGGTATTCATGCAGTCTTGTAGGCGCTAATTTGGACTTGGCGCCCAACGTACTCTTTGGCGCAATGCGTGAAGTATTCATAAAGTCTTGCAGGCGCTAATATAAATTTAACGCCGGCCGAGCGTTAGAATGATCGCGGCATCGAATTATAGAGCCTCAAAGGTCCGCATGCTGTGTTTTGACGCCGCATGAGTATTCCAACGTTGCCTCGTTTCTTCCGATTTTTTTCCCGAGAAAAATTAAGAAAGTTCTTTATACACATGGTCAGTATTCAATCTTCCCACTTCATTTATCATCAGAAGGTAAGACATCGATGACTTGTCAACAAAACTAACCTAAACTAGCGTTAAAATTAAAACGCGTTTATTTCTCAACTGCATGTTTCTTTTTTTGCCAAACCTCTACCTACTTCATTTTATATTTGCGCACTCCTGTAGCAGATTTTAACGTTCCGATTGGCGTAATCCTGGATTGCCGATCTTAAAATATGCGATATCAGACGATTTTGAAAAAAAGGGACATTTTTGCAATAATATTAAGATCAGGGACATCTTTACTGTCCGTCGTCTCGCAGGCAAAAGATATATGATTTTTTAAGGGAGAGTCCCCCCCCCCCCCCCACGAAGAAAAGAGACTTCGTGTATGGGACTAGATCGCCACCCTCCGGCCAAAGTATCACAAGCGCCATGCAACGTTTCGACATTTTCGTCGCCATTTTATTCTTTACAAAGAAATTGTTCGACGAAGATGTTCAAAAATTTCACTGAATTGTTCTTCAGCTGTCGATAAAATTCAGTCAAATTTTCAAACAGATTCTATCAACAATTTCTCCGAAAAAAAATAAAATGGCGGCGGAAATTTTAAAACGTCGCATGGCGATTGTGATAATTTGGCCGGAAGGCGACGAGATGTTTAATTCAAATGCGGATCTCTGAAGTTTCCATATCAGGCAATCTTGAGGTCCAGCTGCCGAAATTAGGGTGACTCATCTGAAGTACTCCGTTACCTCGGTTGGTTTCATAGAAGTTTTCACCGATGTACCAGAGTACCTTAGATGTATGGCCTAAACTTCGGCAGGAAGACCTCAAGTTTTCGGCCTTACGATTCGCAAACTTCGGAGATCCATACGACCTGACCTGGGGGTCTCAGGCATGAAGTCCCTTCCTCCGTGCGCAAGGCAAGCCAGAGCCCCTCCCGTCTCCAAGTAGCTTACGGAATACTTGAATGACCTCTTTTCACAGCGGAAGTTTTTTCGTGTTGCTTCAGTCATGGATCCAGCGGCAGAAGGGCTCAATTCCAGGACAACGCAAGTATGTGTAGTCATAGCGGGAGCATAGACTATCAGGCACGAGAATTACTTCGTAGAACATGTTCGGGTGGGGTGCCAAACCTCAACCAGGTACAGAGAGAGCAACTATGTGCAGACGTCAGAGAAGTGAGGGAAACTATGTGCGGTGACAAGAAGACGGCATTAAGTCAGAAGACTGTGGCGCAAGTTGAGGAGGACGTTCAAAATAAATACTGTGATGGCAAAGGCAAGACCAATCCTCCGCAGACAGGGCAGAACAAAGGCGAAAGTAATGCGGCACCTACCTCACCTAAAGGCACACCGACACCAATGACACCACTGATTGTTAACCTGAGGCAGAAGCTCCAGGAATATAAGTTACAACACGAGGCTTCCCTGGAGGCTTACATGAGGACCACCGAGATCAATGTCCCTAAGCCAGGATCGCCACCACGGTCGCCTACCCCTGAGGTTCTTATTTATTTATCTTCATTCATTGGGCGTACTTAAATCAAAATGAAGTATGCCCATTCTTACGTGAGCCCTAGGATCCACAAGAATACATGCTTGATAGGGCTCATGTCGTCACCTTCCAGGCGCCGTATCACAAGCGCCATGCGACGTTTAAAAATTTCCGCCGCCATTTTATTTCTTTACTGAGAAATTGTTGGTTGAATCTGTTTGGAAATTTCACTAAATTTAATCGGCAGCACAAAGAAAATTCAGTGAAATTTTCGGACAGCTCCGTTGAACAATTTCTCTGTAAAAAAATAAAATGGCGGCGGAAATTTTTAAACGTCGCATGGCGCTTGTGATACTTTGCCTGGAAGGTGGCGATGTCACGATGGATATAGTTCCTTTTGAAATACACAGAGAGAAATTTCAACACCGAAGTTTGGTCAACACGGACAGTAAAACACAAAATAACCCTAGCCTTCGGTTGACGATTTCAAGAGAAAATACCGGCTAGTTTTCTTGAAGAAATTTAATAAAAAACGAGTGGGGAATACCAACGTTGCAATCGGAGGAATGCATACTCCCAGTCCCTCCAATGTTTTCCGCGCTAAAGGGGCCTGTTGCATGCAAGAGATACAGCCGCGCGAATAGACTTTTCAGAGGTTAAATGACACGAAAATTACGATAATCACATTGAAAAGTCTGAAATACACTCCTTACTGCGCAATTTGTGTTGTTAGGAACACGCTTTTTCAAATTTCCCGCGCCTGGGGGCAGTTTTCTAATCACCGGAAACGAGCAAATGGCGGGCTCGGTGATTTCCGGAAGATGCCGAGTCGTTGTTGTTGTTGTTATTTATTCCTTCAGTTTGTTTACAAACCCAACGTGATCTCCTACAGTGGTCCATATACGCTTTATGCGGTGACCAAATCGATCAAATTTTAAATATCCAACGCAATCCTTCTACATTTCATTTCACGATGTCACGAGCTCCGATTTTTAGGTTATGTTGTCAGTTTTAGTTGACCGAAAATAGCCGCGAGTTGCCGTTAATTGTTTCCGTTAGAAAACTGCCCCCAGACGCGGGAAATTTGAAAAAGCGCGTTCCTTACAACACAAATTGCGCAGTAAGGAGTGTATTTCAGACTTTTTTAATGCAACCATCGTAATTTTCGTGTCATTTAACCTCTTAAAAGTCTCTTCGCACGGCTGTATCTCTTGCATGCAACAGGCCTATTCACCGCAAAATATAGCAAAATCAACACAAAATGTGATGGTCTGCGTTTCACTCTCTTTATTAATCAAAAGTAACACAAGAACACAAATAGTTATATCATAGTATATGCGTTCTCAAGGGCCGTGTTCAAAGTAGTTTCTTCATCAGTTTCTTTCATTAGGAGGCCCCAGATGATTTTGATCGTGGCCAAGGAAGGTTTGAGGAGGCCTTTGACATCGATTGCATCATACAGGGTGATCCAAAATTCCCTTTCACCCCCTCTAACTTTTTACCTAATTGAGGTACAAATTTGAAACTTGGGGTATGTCCCTGAGTCAAAGGAAGCTACTACCTTAAAGTGGAGTCACCCTTAAATTATCAGGGGAGCCCCGCTGGAGATACAACGGACCCCAATTGTTTTTTCAAGTAAAAAGATTCCTCTTGTGATACTTTGTTTACAAGAGCATAAAAAGGAAACTTTTCGCGCAAACCTGAAGTCAACATCTCAAATAATTTCAAAATGGCGGATGGTTAATGATTAGAATGGCCAAAAATTGGTTTTTCTCAGAAATCAAACCTCAAATTCGTTTTTCGCATGCCAAGAGAGCCCTAAATTCCAAGTTTCAGGCAAATCCATCAGCAAAAAACCAAAAGTGCCAAGGTACCAATTTTCGGTAATTTTGAACTTTAACTGGCCACCTATTTGAAAATTTCAGTTTTTTATGGTAATAGTCTATCGTCCAAGTCATTTTTTTCTCGTTAAAATAACACCCATACCGATTTCCGATTGAAATAAAACGGATACCACTTCTTATTTTGTAAATGGCGCACGCAATTAGCAACCTCCTACAATTTGCGAGCAACTAGTGGTAAATATAAACATATAAAATTTAGAAATAGAGAATAAAGAGAAGAGGATGGTTTTTCCCTAAAATGAAATAGACGCGTTCTCTCTTGTACCTACATATATGTTAACCACTGGATCAGTCATGCAATCGTCTAGTGAAATCAGCTACTCAGTTGGGTTTAGATCGTAGAGGCAGATACACTAACACCATGACGAGGCCTTGAGTATCACGAAAAAATGAAGACTTTTAAAACCGAGTTTTTTCTTTCGAAGGCCGTTACCAACAAAATCCACGTCGCATGTCGGTGCGCATTTTTGGAATTTGTCAGAAGAACACTTGAGTTGCATGCAAATTGCCAGCGATTACTAAAAGCCCGCAACCGACTCTAGAGAGAAGACCTAGAGTAAAGATGAACTCTCATACTGGGATACTCTCTCATACGCACAATGGGCCTGTTGCAAGGTGTGGGGATTTGCGAATTATTAACTGATTCTGATGGCAAATTTCACAAAAAGAACGATGGCGCCAATAAAAAATCTTAAAATCACCTCCTAAATTCAAAAAAGCTGTTTTTAGAAACCGACCAATTCAAAACGGTCACTTTAACGCGGGAACGGATCCGGTACATTCGTGACGTCACAGTACATGACAAACACATCCCCTTCATCAAGCGGCTGCCAATTATTCATGGAGAAATACCAGAGACAAGAGACCCTCCACTGGTACCTTGGCAATGGTGGAAGCTTTTACTTTCGGGACTTAAACATTCAACTGTTGACCTACCTAATAGGTTGATGGTTAACAACGTGTTAGTTATTTCGTTTTGCAAACAAACCAAAGTTTGGGGAACTTGTTTAGCTCATGACGTCATCCGAAGCTTATCATCCACCGATTTAGGTAGGTCAACAGCCAAAAAAAGAGCGATGACTGTTGCCCCCTTATATTTGTCCATGAGGAAATGTTGAATCCCCGAAAGTAAAAGTTTCTACCTATCGCCAAGAGGCCAGTGGAGGGTCTCTTGTCTCTGAGAAATACATTATAAACGACGAAGAGACCAGGTTTGCCATGTACTGTGACGTCATGAACTTGCCGGATCCGTCCCCGCGTGAAAGTGACGTTTTGAAAATCCGAAGTTTAGGGGCGTTTTTAAGTTGATTTTTGGGAGGTTTTCGGTGGTCAAAACTATTATCATGATCCCTAGTTCTTTTGGATCCTGCAATAAAACAACACTGTTGAAAATCAATGATTTTCTCTGAGTGAATAGCCGGCGTGAAGAAAAAATCCAGCGCGAATTTCGCGCCGTGCTCTGAGTGAATAGATCTGAGCGTAGATCTGACCAACGACGGACGAATTAGTTAAGGTACCTCAAGTACTCAAGTAGCGCGCTGGTACGAGCGTCGAATGGCAAAGTGGTAGCGCTCTCGTCTATCACCGCCGCGACTTGAGTTCATATCCATGCTGCGGCAGTTCCGTTTTACGTTTGCCTGTTTGATTTTCACTCCCGCCAGTACGCGAAATTCGCGCCGGATCCATGCACTCAGAGTAAGAGGTGGTCAAAATAGCAACTGAGTAAGCGTGAATTTCGCGCCGGGATTTTTAAGAGTGAAATTGTGCAAGAGGCCCATAACAGAGAAAATAATGCTTTTTTCAGGAAAAAGATACAAAGGCAATGCTCGCGGTGTGGATGGCTGAGCTGTGCCCTCCGAACCCTCCGCCGGGGACCAACCAAGATCCAACCGAAACCATCCCTGAGCCGAGATCTCCATATGAAACGCTCTCTGCAGAGGAACATCACATCTTGCACCTCATGAGACTTGAACAGCTTAAAAAAGAGGTTTGGAATGGGCGGATAGATTATAATTCTGCGGACTACCCCTTACGAGTGGGACGGATCGACACTAAGGATGAACCTAGGAAACGCGTTGCACCCAGACTCCCGTATCCTGGGCCCCGAAAACCGGCCCAGACACAGCCAGAAGATCCCGAACAACAAAGGTCACCCACTCGTAAGCGTTCACCCTCCCGATCTCCAGACCGATCTCCAGATCGTTCTCCACGCCGATCTCCACGCCGCTCGCCCTCGCCCACGAGACCTCCACCTCCTCCTACATTCCGGAAATGATGAAGATGATTCTCAGCTTTGAAATTCAGATGAGCAGGCCCGTGGCTCAGCACCTTCAGTGGGGTGAGGGGGATTCACGGTCAAAGATTTCTCACTGTAATTAATGTATATAATAATGTCGTATTTAAATGAATTTTTACTTTTGAAATATTCAAAATTTGAGTGTTTTCTTTCTACGTAATATTCACGGCTCATGAGATCCAGGCACTCTTCCGCCAATAAAAGGTTCAAATGTCAGCATAACTGCTGAGCCTGGCCCACTAAGCTATCAACACCCAGAACCTGTGGAACTTGGTACACATTTATTGCGCGTTACAAATTACGCAATTTTTATATCGATTCCCCGTTTTCACTTACTCACGCTCAGCAAAAATATACGTATTATATCCACGATTACAAGTACGACGGCGTTTTTTTGTAAGTAAAATAAAACCGTTTTGCTCCATTTTTATTCAAAAGTGATCCTAGTTAAAGTCATAAGTGCCTCTAATGGCTCTTACCTGGGGTACTTTTGGAAGAAAGTAACTTAATGGACCAAAAAAAGTTATCCTGCCTCATAAATGCCTCACATAACCCTATGGGACCCATTTCATACGTAAAAAGTAGCCACAATAATCGATGACTTTAGTGCGGAAGCACGTATCTCCGTTTGCGATGTTGTGGATATTGCGATGTTTGTCATAAATACTGTATTTACTATTTTTAAAACTTTTCGTCCTATTTTCCAGAAAGCTGCCTTGATTTTTCCCCTCTATGAGCAGAATATTCTCTGCAAATTTCAAGCTTCAAAATTTGGATTGTTTCCCTTTAGAACAAATAAAATAGGAGCAGACATTTTGAAGCATCGTGTTGGAGATACATGGTTTTGAACTTTGGCCATCGATATGAAAAGTTTCTCTCAGCTCTCTCAATAGAAAGCTATTTTTACCTTTGCTCATGTGTATTTGGTAAACTGACCGATAAACTATCATTTGAAAAGGTAAACATGAACTCGTTCCTACGCCGGAGGAAAAAAAATAGTTTTATGTTCAGAGGGTCACGCGACTCACGCACCAGTAGTGTCAGAAAAAAATCTCGATTATGATGGTCACTCTATCGTCCTAAATTCAAATTTTTGCGGAGGACGTTGTTAGTACGCAAGTTTAAACAGGAGAAATCATGAAGTATTCATAGAAATTTTTGGTTAAAAATAAATGTGAGACTCTCAAAATATCTAGAGAGCCTTCTTTTTGAGTGTCTGAAACTGAAATAAACTGTTTCAAACTTATATATATTAATAGAATCAAATCTAAAAAAAATCTAAATTTATCAATATAATAGAGTGTGCGTCCCATCAAAAAGTCAAATTTCGATTTCCTCACCGAATCAGGCAAAAAGATCACTCATAAGAAATTACTTTTTTTTGCTTCGGTCTTTTTCCCCGTCGACAGGACGCTAACATTTAAAATGGATCTACTTTACAACACCAGTAAACAGGCATCGAGATATCGAAAGACTTTGGCCGAATACTGGTCTCACTTTGAGTTTTTGGCAAGAATGGATCGATTCATATTAAGGGCACCTTTCAGTTGTTCCTCTTCAAAAAATCTGCAACGCAGTAAAAGTTTCGATATAGCTGATCCTCTTTTTATCACGTATCAGTCAGTCATTCGGCCACCGCCCGATTACCTCCCAGCTGTGAGAAAAAGAAGACAACCTGGCAACGTCGCAGCAATTACAAACGAGAGTTAAAAAATACGTTACTTTGTAGTTGGGGTGATGGTCTGATGGTGTGCGTGTTGAAATGTCCTAGAGGTGTAAAGGGCCCCGCGTTGATTTGAAAATTCATGGAACTTAGAAACTTGAAGTCCGTGTCAAAATTGTTGAAACGTAAAAATAGATTTAAAATAATTATGAGAAGATGCGTTGGGTGAATTATTGTCAGAAACAACTGAATTTATTAATATTTGGGAGTCACGAAAAAGCTTCTCTGAGACGCTGATAATTAAAGGAAAGTTTTGATGGTGCTTAAGCTTTCACATACATTGGTCGTTTTGGTGGGGGCTTCAGTTTTGGCATTCCACATGTCAAGTGGAAACATGGCACTTTCCGAAACAAAATAGTCGCGTAGATAATCCACGAGTCGTTAGCTGGCTGATCTGACTTAAATGCAGCAAAAACAACATTTCTGGTCATAATTACTGCGACGTTGCCAATTAGTGTTCTTTTTCTTGCAGCCGGGAGGAAATCGGGATCCCGGAGAGAATCGGGCAATCCCCGGTCATTCTTACCCAAAAATTCATAAATTTTTTGTCTGTATACGCACGGAAAATCAACAAAATCTTAGAACAATTTCTCGCGTATATTTTAATAATAAATTGGATTGTTTGAGTCAATTTGCAACCTGAGAACAAAGATCAATTCTCATTTTGGAAACGACAAATGCGCTTCCAGGCGTAAAGGATCCTTTAAAAAATAGAAAAAATAATCCGTCCATATAAATGTCAATAACTTTCTATCTTGTTTTGACCGTACTTGAAAATCCTGGCGCCCAATCTGATAGATATCACGTATGATGAGTTTTGATTTCTACGACACCCGTAGGAAGTCCCGAGTACTTTAAGGGATGAAAATCAAAATCGTCACCTTTCGGCAGATATATCACAAGTGCCATGCGACGTTTCAAAATTTCCGCTGCCATTTTTTTTCACGAAAAATTGTTGGTTCAATCTGTTCGAAAATTGCACGGAATTTTATCGGCAGCACAAAGAAAATTTAGTGAAATTCCCAGACGGTTTCGTTGAACAATGTATCTGTGAAAAAATAAAATGGCGGTGGGAATTTTGAAACGTCGCATGGCACTTATAGTACTTTGGCCGGAAGGTGACGAAATATGCATTTTTCAAAGTTACTTTTCGATCCGCCCTTTGGACCCGTTTTCAAAAATTCAAAGTGAGACAAATATTTTAGCGAATTCGATTCAATATCTCTCTGAATATTTACTTACTCCCGCTATTCACCTTAACACACTTTAACTGATAAGGGACTTCCGATTGGTGCCTCCCGAGTCGAAATTCTGACGCTGACTGACCCAATAATCAGTGGATAGCACTATCGTCGAAAGCATTGCGAGTGTTGAGCGTGTCGTAGCCAGTGCGCGGCGTGACATTATCAGTGGGGGCATGGTGCTGCGGTGTTTGGGGGGCACCCTCCTCGGCCTCGGGATATGCCTCCTCCTCGGGGGCATGCTCATCGACCGGTTCTGGCCCTTTTTTTTCAGCAACCTAGTTCAGCCGGTAAGTTCACCACTCTCATTTCCGGGGATATTCATGAGGTTTGGCAACAGTGGGCTTCGCCTTATGATTAAAAAATGTCTTTCTGTTGCTGGACTCCTCCGGAAAAATCAAAATTAGAGGGGTGGAATGATTGTTTCAACCCTAAAACTGTAGCAAATTGTGTTTGAGTTTATTTTTTCAATGGTAAATTGGACCGCGTTAAACTGAAAGGAACCAAGCCACATCAGCTGCTGCCAAATTTAATTAGGCAATTCGATTTTTTACACGAAAAAGGATGTGTGGATCTTCGTGTAAATTTTCTCCATAAAGCAAAGAAAATTCCTCAACATTTTTAAAGGAATCCGTACAAACGTTCTCTCGTAAAAAACTAAATTGCCCAGTTAAAGGCGATAGCTAATGTGGCTTGGTACTTTTCTGATAATCGCGGTTCAATTGGACTTACGTTAAGTTTTGTTTCCTTCGTGAGTGGGAAATTTGAATCAACTGATTTTGCAGGTAAACTAAAAATTTCAATTTTTCACTCATGCGAGTTACTCATGGACATTTCAGAGACGTTCAACATTTTTTGTGTGCAGAGGCGAGGTGTAATTATCGCCTATCGATGTCATCCCCTTTGAAACTATGGTGAAGAATCGATTATTAAGGTGTTCGTTGGGAACGCTCTGAAAATAGATCCTTTTTCATAGATTTAGAGATTGACAGATCAATCGATCTATCGCAAAAGCTGCTCGTAATTTCAATAGAGACATATGACTTTTGGATGTTTATTGCTTACCACGACCAGTAGTCCATTAGAAAAAATTTCGTCGCCGAACCGAAAAACGACGAAAATTGAAAATAATCGCGGAATTTCGAGCCAGCCAATCTAATGCGAATCTGAAGTTGAATTAGCGGGGGAAAAACTTCATCAATAATAAAAACAGAATTTGAATGAACGATTATAGGCGGTAAAGGTGCTAAAAATAATAGATAGATGAGAAACTAAAGGAGGTTTGTTGAATTCTTTGAATTTAGCACATATTATCTCTCATTTTTTTATATTCCTACTGTTTCGCAATCACTTTTTATTACAATCCACTTGAAACATATTATTATTGGATAGCTTTTCATATTTTCGGCACAAAAACGACATCAGCACAGTGTACTCGCGATAACCACGAAATGGATCCACAGTGCACTATTTTCTTTTATATACATTTAATAATAATATTAATGGTTGATTGGATGGTAAATATTTTTTTACATATATGAAAAGCGTGCTCGTATGTTAATGCGATTTCAAGTTTCCCTTCTTGATAAAAAAAATATTCACGTCTTGCTCAAACACTGAATAACTTAGGCACCCATTCGCTGCCTAATGTGTACATTATCTTGCGGGTTCAGTGAACCAACTGACAAAGGCTATTAGGAAACGTTTGTTTTGCGTAGAATGGTTTCTTACGATAACTTAGAATTTTGTGGCTTTATTTTATCATGAAAATGATTTATCGATGTCGATTTCAAAGGCTGAGCAAGGAGGAGAATCATTTGGTCAACGTTCAAGTCAGGCATTAGAGTAGGTCAATGGTTCCTACTACGTAATCGATATTGAAATCATTGCTTGTGTTCTGTTTGTCTTTTGATTCTGCGTTTAGGCACTCACTTGATATCGTTCTCTGTGCATTGAGGTTTTTCCAATCACATGAAAAATATAGTAATTTTTACAATATGTAGGTAAACTTGATTTGGACCACATTTTGTAATTGATGGGGGCAAAGAAAGCAGGCCATGCTGCCGTGCTAAGGAAAAACGCCGTATGAACAGTCGAGAGTTGCCAAATTTCCATCGATAAAATTATAATTTTTGCGGAATGTTATGAATACTTTTCCTCACAATTTTCAGGAAGGTTAGGGAATTGCAAATAAAATTATCTGAAAAATTGAACGAAAAACATTCATAGGTTTACCAGGAAATTCGTGCTTTATTAAAGGAAATGTGACAACGCCTGATGATTCATACGACGTTTTCCCTTAGTACGGCAGAATAGTTCCTTGTTGTAAATCTGGTCCGATATTTGGACGTATTTATATCAAACGGAACTATGTGCATTAAAGCATGAGCCCTGAGACCCATAGGAATATGTACATAATAGGGATCACGTCATTATGCTGCACATAGTTCCGTTTGATAGAAATACGTCCATTTATGACACAGCACAATACTATTGGGTGAAGATAATTTGTTTCCTCGAAACATTCATCAAAGAATGGCAATTTTTACCAAGAGTCCGTCGTTGATCTCAAAACTCATTATTATGTCCAAATCGACTATTTTTTGGGTGATTTGCACTGTGCACGTAATCGTGTGGTATCAGAACGAGAAGCTTTTTACTTCTGGTTGTTTCCCCGGAAGAACTTCAACAACTTTGCCCCAGTGAGGTTCCATATTATTGTGACCGGGTCGGTAAAATGGACTTTATTAAAGCGGGAAAATCATCAGAAAGAGTCCGGAAAAGAGTTCGGTGTCACCAGGGTAAAAAGCTGAGCCGGAAAAAAAAAATATACCTCGTCAATTTTTTACCCGGCCCTGCAATAACCTGAAACGACATCCCTGGCTTGCTCGGAAAAAATCGCAAAAAATACAATTTATTTTGCGCAAAAAGCCTTTGGGATCGTTGCTTCTCGCCTAAAACTAGGGGTCCCAATCGATAAACTTCAGGCCCAGGAAATTCAAATATATTTTATTTTTGTTTTCTTAGACCCTTCTCTTTTTTGTGCTTACGTGCTCATAATTTATTTATAAATTATTAAATGGATTCCGAAAGATTCTCTACCATGAAATTATACCTTTTATGTTTCAGCAATTAGCGTTAACGTCGAGTTCTCTTAATTATGGACTATGGAAAGAAACCCCTGTGCCATTGTACATGGATTTCTACTTTTTCGACTGGATGAATCCTAAGCAAAGTTTGGCAGGACAGGAAAAGCCGAGGTTCATAGAAAGAGGACCTTATGTATTCAGGTATTAAATGTTAACCAGGAGAAGATACACTAATTAAATTGACCGGAAATGGGAACATCGGAGAGTAAAATCTGAAAATATATTGGTGAACGAACAGAGCTAAAATTAAAGGAAGAGAAGAGTGGAGGAAAAACAAGATATTTTGAGTGATTACAGGCTCATTTTCAGCTTGAAAAAAATGGACTTCCGCCCCCTAAAGTTTTCCTCGTTCACGGGAAAAATTAGGATTGTCGGCACAACCAGCGGCTGGTTGAAAATGCGCCAGATACCGTGCCGTAGTTACGGTAACTACCGCGGTGGTGGACACAACTAACCCGGTGGTTATAGTAACTACCGCAAGGTAGCTGGCGTAATTTTGACCAGCGGCTAGTTTTGACGACTATTTTTTCCCTGTTGAATTTCAGCCTTGTTTACGAGTGTTTTTAGCTTTACATTCGCTGTTTGGTCATGTCCTATCACTTCTTGTACTTACATAATTTGAGAATCTTGTATTCTATCATAGCGGGCTGGATTTTATCGAAGAATATGCCTCTATCTCCCGATATTCTTATTCAATTTCAAAAATATTCTGTGGACATTTCGGGCAAAAATGTCTGGCAATATTTCTTAAAAAAACAAACAAACAAACAAACAAACAAACAAACAAACAAATAAACAACCAAAAAAAACGAAGAGGTGAAAATTTTGTAGTACCGCAATCGAGGTAGGTGATGTAGTTTCACAGGAATTACTTGTAATTTTAAAACAGATGCATTACATATGGTGTTGTATGAGTGGCATTATCTGGAATCACTTTGCCAGCCGGGGTCTGCGATGCGTATCTTCCGAGGATGATAAAACGCATCCTGGTCTGGCCTCAAATCTGACTCAATTTACTGAGAATTGAATGAATGGTGACGAGAACACATTTTGTTAAGTGCATTTCATCCAAAGCTAGTTTACTCGCCGAAAAAATATTCTGTTCATCATGGAAACTTGAGTGACCTAAGACAAATGCCACTCTACACAAAATTCTGCATTGCATCCAGTCCAAGATTAAATATTTTAAGTTTAAGGTCTTGAAGATTACCATTTTTCACCAAGAAATTATCGTGAGTGGGTATTATTTTTTTTAACTCAACGTCACCAGGATTGCATCATCTAAAATCGGCGTGACTAGAGGTGTATACCGAACCCGTACCGATACCGATCGTTACCGATCGATACCGACCGAAACATTTTCGATTCACCGAATACCGAAGCCATCGCGATATATCGTACATACCGAAACTTACCGAACATACCGAAACTTACCGAAACATTTTCGATTCATCGAATACCGAAGTTACCGCGATATATCGTACATACCGAAACTTATCGAACATACCGAAACTTTGTTGAATCCATTGTTGCCACGTTGCCGTAGTTCAAATGTTCAGTTTTTCACCTTTTTAGCTGTGACGTTGAAGGAATCGCACAAAAAGTAATCTAACTATTTTTTGATGAAAGTAGACCGTTTAAGCTCAAGGTAGATTTACACAGGTATGGACAGAACTTAACAACTGGCCTCTGATTGGCTCTCCAGCGGCCCCTGAACGTCAGCCATTTTGAATGTTTTAATTATTTTGATTTATTATTTTCGGTTTATCGTTTGTCAAAATTTTGTGGGATTTTTTGCACAATTTTGCTAATGCGATATTAATTTTAACGTTTAAACGCACAAACGTTTGAATGTTAATTTGATTGTAATTTAATTAAAAAACGGGCCCCTTAACCTACATCACGTAGTCATGTGACACGTACTGAGGCTCATGGGAAATTTTCAACTTTTCCATACCTGTGTAAATCTACCTTGGTTTAAGCTTTAAAACAAGCACAAGTTCTTCCTGGGGAAACAAGTTGGAGGAGAGATATGATTTTTCAAAGTGGATGCGGTACACTTGGACCTGGTTTGTTCCGAGTCCCAAGATCACCAAATGCCCTCAAACCAATCACGAATTGCAAGGTTGTGCATTTTTATACCCCATTGTAGCTCATTTCCCAAGAAAATTATTAAAAAAGAACAAAATATCGAGACATATGAATGTTACAGAACTAGCCTCAGCTGCCGCTCGCTGCATCAACAAAAAATCATGACTCATTTTCAAATCGTTTCTCTAGGATGGACTTAAATTTAAAAAGCTCAAATGGTACGCTTTTATTAGCAATTCCTCTTTTTTCCTCTTATTTCTATACCCAGCAAACCGTTGAAGGTAAACATAAATTTTTTTATGATCGAAAACTTTGATTTCCCTGTATCCATCGCATATTAATCATTTATCCTGATGTTGTCATTTTTGACGAATGATTTTATACAGGAGTGACCTATAAAGGTATCGCCCCAGCTAAAAATTGAAAATTTGAACTATGGCAACGTGACAGCAATGGATGACATTTTCAAAATGGACCAATTTTGTCATCATTGTCTGAAAGCTGGTGGTTTCCTCTATATTTTGGGACTAAGATCATCGCTTTACGACAAACCGTTCACGAGATATGCGAGTTGAAATATTTATCTTTGAACCCCTTTCCCTCTATCCGTACTTGTTTGATTTCAAAAATCGTCGGTGTTTTGGACTCGGAAAGTGATTTTCTATCGACCCTGAAAGTATTTCGAAGATCAGGGCGAGGTTGGAAATGACCGCTTTTGAATAAGGCCTTTTGATGACCGTTTTACCACCCATTCTTCTCCATTTTATCGAAACACTCCTGCATGAAATATTCCTGCAATTTTGCGGGAAGTTAACATCGTAATATCATAAACAGATTTTTAATTTCACCTTTGCCCCGCATTAAAAAAATATTCAGCAAAATTGATGATGATCAGAAATAGCTAGTGATTATCAGTAAAAGGGAGTAAGTAACAGTTAGCAAATTGGAGTAGAAATATAGTGTCATTATTTATTCCAGTAGATCAACTTTTCACCCACCTATCCTCACAAAATGGCGCTATGGGCCAGTTGCACCAATTTTTTTTATTGCTTTAATCGAAAGAACTAAGGCTCCTGATGTCACAGGAATTTTCCCGGAGTTTTTTGATCACCGGAAACCTTAAAAAAATCAACTTAAAAACGCCTCAGAATTTGGATTTTCAAAACGGTCGTTTCGGGTCCGCCATACTTGTGACGTGAAATGATATGACAGACCTGGTTTCTTCATCACTTACAATGTATTTTCCCGTAAGGAAATGGCAGCCGCTTTTCAAATGCAAATATCGAGTCAATCGATAATTTTTTGATCAAAATGGAAATCAGAAATGGATTCCTCGTACGTTTAAATGGTTAAAACCTTCATTAGATAAATAAGAACCGACGGGATAAACCCTATTTTTAAGGAAGACTGTAGTCAATGGGCGATTGTTTACATCTGCTTAGTGATAACAGACATGGGCATTAGCTCAATATTTAGCCATTTTCATGAGTTTTTACTTTTTTGTCACTATTTGAAGGTAAGTTTATTTTATAAATCAATCGTTTAGTGCCTTAGGATCATGTTAAAAGCTGCAAAGGTATACTTTGTTACTAATTAATTCAGAACACACTCCGGCACTCCGGCAGTCCAACGCTCAAACCTGGATGTAGCGAGTCAGTTGTTATTTCTTACTATTTAACCTTTTAATGCCTCACTGAAGACACCAAAATGATAGTATCCGTCATTGATGATGAAAATCACTTTCCTTTGACAATACTGATGAGATGAGGAGACCGGTATGTTTTAGCTGGAGGCAAGGAAAGTAGACGTAGGTGATCCTCCTTCGGTTACCAGACTTTATCGATAAATTTTTCTGTATAGTGTTACATTTAAAACACACAGGGTTTTAAAATAACATAAGTTTATAAAACGTGGGAACGTTCTGAATGATATTGAGATGTTTGTTGAAGAGTTAAGAATTACTTACACGCATTGAGAGAACATCCATGGTTTGAGCGTTGGACTGCCGGAGTTTGTTCTGAATTAATAAGTAACAAAGTATACCTTTACAGCTTTTAACATGATCCTAAGGCACTAAACAATTGATTTATAAAATAAACTTACCTTCAAATAGTGACAAAAAAGTAAAAACTCATGAAAATGGCTAAATATTGAGCTAATGTCCATGTCTGTTATCACTAAGCAGATGTAAACAATCGCCCATTGACTACAGTCTTCCTTAAAAATAGGGTTTATCCCGTCGGTTCTTATTTATCTAATGAAGGTTTTAACCATTTAAACGTACGAGGAATCCATTTCTGATTTCCATTTTGATCAAAAATTTATCGATTGACTCGATATTTGCATTTGAAAAGCGGTTGTCACTTCCTTATGGGAAAATACATTGTAAGTGATGAAGAAACCATGGCTGTCGAACCATTTCACGTCACAAGCACAGAATATATAGGCTCCACCAATCACAAGTATGGCGGTTGAAAAACGACCTTTTGAATGGGTCGGTTCCAAAAACAGCTTATTTTGAGTTTGAGAGGTCATTTCAAGGTTTTTTAGTAGCGCCATCGTTCTTTTCGTGAAATTTGCCATAAGAATCAGGCATCAATTTGCAAATCCCCGAATCTTGCAACAGGCCCATTGGGTGAAAGTTTCCATTTATTCCATAGGTATTTTTTCTCACTTGTCAGCAAAGCGGAGTAACAAACTTGAAATCGATGTCTCTCGGTTGCGAGGTTTCAAAATGTTCAGTCTTATTTAATTTTTTCCCTCGGATGGAAAAAAAAGTGTCTTGGATCCTAAGTCCAGACTCTTAAAAGATTGGACAAGAAGAATACTCTTGGTTCAATCGGATTTTTCTTTGAAACTAGCCCAGCCTCTTAATTCAAGCGGATTTCTTTTTTGTTCAGGCAAAAATCCGATTGTTTCGAGAGTATTTTTTAAGAGTCTGGACTCCGGATCCAAGAGACTTTTTTCCAGTGTAGGTAAACGAGTTTCTATCATCGTCTGCGCTTTTCATAGATACTTCCTCAAATATAAAAATTACGTCGAATTGTGTT